ACTAAATAAACCATGTAACCCACTCCCCAAATACCCACAACCTTTACATGAAGCAAACAGCAAAGGAATGAATTCTCCTGATGGGCCTCAAAAGCCAGCAACCCACCTCGAGCACCTAGAAAGCTTAATCCACATGGCCCGTTCACACCGAATGGCCATCTGTAACAAGGGATCTTCTGGGTGCCTCAGAAAAATCCACCCCTTCTCTACTAGGCACCAGACAACTAGAACGTGAAAAGAAAGCCTGAGGCTGCAGGCAAGACTCCAATCAAAGGTGAGGGGAGAAGGAGGAAGAAAGAGCTCTCTTCCTCCTCTCTGAAAATACAGTATATTTAAAATGCATGATTACGGTTTAAATCATGCCTTGAATATGTTTTCATAAGAAACTATGGAATGTAAGGGTGGGTGGGGAGTTGGATATGGCCACACAGAGGGAACCACTCCCAGAAGTTTACACTGAAGGGGCTTGAATGGGTTAAACAAACCACCTCTGTCAACTGAGTCGCCCAGTTCAGAAGAACTGCAACACCCAGATGATCTCCGCTCAAATTTGGCACAGAATTGACTTGCTCCTTGCTGGGCATTAGACTCTGCAAGTCAACTTCAAACAGCAAAACACGCTTCATATTTTTGTAACGCCACCTTTCAAACAAATACCCAAAGTACACTTGGCCATTCACGGACAGACGAGGGCTGAGAACTGCAGGATCTGTAGTTCTGCAAGACTGCTGTTCCAGGACTTCATTAACTCTGATTTTACAGTCCACTGAAAAATTCTTCAAAATAGGCTTTTCTTTCTCACAGAGGAAGCAACTTCCTATAGCAGCAGGTGTCACTGTTTCACCAACAACACTGAGGCTGGAAATAGTCACAAAAAGGACTTGGTTTTGACATTTTAGTAATGTGAACTGGAGCAGAAAACCCAAACACTAACTGCTATCATCTCGCTGCAAATTATTAGCATGTAAGATGCTGGCATTGCTTGGTTATGCAAAAACTTCCTTCAAGCAAGATGTCAGAGACATGCTAAGATACATTATATCTGTCATGCGAGACAGATTGGCCTCAAAAGCAAGGAGTTAAAAACTGCATTTTCGGAAGAAAAGAAAAAAATAAAATAAATAAAATCTGTACTTCACGTATAATCTAGTTACAAAATGGTTGCTGAAAATCCTCTGTTCTTGTTGCCTGGCTAACTTCACATCACAGTCCGTAAATAACAGGTTCTCTATTTCACAGTGAATTTATTTAACATGCATAATCAATAGGTCAAGTGCAGGTTAAACACACACCTTAAAACAGCTGAAGCCTCGGTCAGCGACGTACCTGCACGCTCATCAGTTGATGAAAACTTTCACCATCCAGGCAAGGGGACGGGCTTTAACTCGGGGTACGACTCAAAAGGACAAAAACCTCGCCGGCACCGACATCACACGGCTCTACCAGAGGCTGCCTGACCAGCAACGTGTTTATTCCAGGAAATTGTGTCATTCTGCCACTTAAGCTGCCTACGGCGGAGTTGCCCATCTCACATACAACCTTCTAATCTCACCGGGGTCACCCGAGGCGATCCCCCCCGAGCTGGGCTTAACTGGCCGTCACGGACATACAGCAAATTTCTGTCTAGTCAGATCACTGGGCTGCACCACCTGCTGCAGAGGCACACGGCTCGACCCACCGGCCGGCGGTTCTGCTGCCCGGGCAGCCACACCGCAGAAACAGCCCGTACCGACTGCCACTTTGCTACCAAGTTTCAGCTTGGAGAGAACGTCCTTTCCAGGAGTTATTTAAGGAATTCTCTACAATCGGTGCAAAAGCATCTTGCCATCACGCTTTCTTCCAATAAGATGTTAAAAACTTGCTCTTCAATTTGAAAAGTCACATTGAGTTTAAGCTGCACTGGTTTAGTTGCCTCTGCAAGCATTCTGCAACAGCTTAGGTAGCATTTTATAAAAAAGCCTTCCTAGACTTATTTGAGGACAAAAACATACCAAAATTCAGTAAGTCTTATATCTCATAACTTGACGTGCCTTCATTTGGCATGCGGCTTCTCTCAAATAAAAGCTCCACACTGAAACTTGAGTCAAGTTGTGCTCACTACATTCTCTGGAGGATTTCAACATCATTAGCATGATTAATATCTTCTCCACTGCAATATTCCATTTGCTTGCCTTCTAATTTACAAAAATATATGAACTATTAAGAGTTTAAGCTGAAGCACCTGTCACTGGCATAAGCACATCTTGGAGCACATCATAAATCTTACACGACTCACGTTTGCCAGTCAGCAAGGAAGGTTCAAGTGGCTACTTGGAGATATGAAAAATATCAGCTTCACCCAAAGATGGGGTGTGGGAGGGAGAGGGGGAATGAACTGCGTTCTGCAACCATAAGATAAAAATTCTGGCAAGCAAGGCAGTTCAACACTCTCAAGTTCTTTTTTACTGGCTGTTATAGATGTTGCTAATTAATCATTACAAAAATTAAGAAATACAAATATGATTTTTGGTACCATGTAATTCCTTACTACAGCGTTACTAAACGCACTAATTACAATACTTCTGAATTTAAACTTCCAGAAATTGTAACATTTCCCATTTAGAATGCTTAGAAGATTATTTCCTTGAGTATGCAAGTACACCTCAACGTTCTTCATAAAGTCTGACACGTACCTGCATCCTTGGCATAGAGCACACGTTGCCTGCCTAGCAGTTGCCCAAAGTTCAGTGATCTGCTGTAGTACTTAATGTGGATCAACAACTAGCAATTGAGACCTACAACTCTGCTAAAATTCAAAGAGCAAGAAATTTGAGTTGAACCATCAACGACAGCAGCTTCAGTGCTTCAACTCATGTATTTAGTTATCTACATAAAAATCTGTATTCAGAGAAGCAGCTACAAAGTCAGGCAGAGCACCTTGCGTTTTCTTTACAGTGAGCTAAGTTCACAAATCTATGTCCTTGTGTACAAGGCTGTAACTAAAATCTTTCTAGTTTATATGCATTATCCAAGGAAAGCAATCAATTTATGGATGGAGAAATCCATCTAAAGTTTGAATTCTACCAGATCCAATATTTTAAAGTTTAACAGCTTTGAAAGACATTTAAATGTGCAGTTATGATCTTCTGAATATCTCAAAACCTTACAGTTACATTGCATTACAGCTTGAACCAGTTCTGTCTCCTCACCTCCCAGCACAGCTGCAGAAGAACAGCACGCAGCGAAGATGCTGCTTACTATGATCACACCAGTCTCATTTTATACTGGAATATGAAACTGACCCACTTAAAACAGCAGCATTATCTGCGTTTAGCACCCACAGCAATTGCCTACATTTTGGACAAACGTCGTTTATTTCAATCTTCTTTGTATTTGCCATACATCTGTGCTTTAATGGGAATCTTTTGCCATTGCTAGTCACTTAACAATACACTTTTCCTATTAAAAACCATTATAAGGCTTCAAAAGTCTAACAGACATTCCAGTAAAATACAAGGTATTTCCAGTATTTTCTCCCATTGCAGCAGTTCTCAATTAGTCAAAGTTGAAGCTCTAACTAAATCCTGTGCATAATGAAAATGACCTTATGCAAAGTAATCCGTGATTTGTAGAGTACAGACAAGTCAGTCTTCTGTGACATGGTTTCTTCTCTTAGAACACCAGATCACAATGTAAAAGGCTGACGTACAACGGCACCGTAGAAGCACACCACAATGACTGTTTCTAGTAAACAGGATCAACTGATCAGCTGAAGCTGTCTGCAGAAATTTTCTTTTATATAAAAAATACATTTTATGGGACTCTCAGAAAACTTACATTATTAGAAAAGAGGCTTTACATATCCTGAAGTGTAATATTTACTTAATTTGCCGTTCTGCAGTTCCATACAGACCTGTGGAGTCACAATATCTCTATGTCTTTTTCTTTAGTATTGCTGCTGAGATATGACTAAATCAAACAACCTACAACTCTTCAGATTTTAAGGTCTGTGGGTTTCTAAAACCCTGACTTTGAGAGGACCCTCCCCTCCTGCTCCCATCATGCTTCAGTTCCAACAGCACACTGGGTATTTCTTCAGCACATTGTATCTATACCAGTTTCCAGCTGTTAAATTCATTTTAAGGATACGACCTCAAAATACCTGCAGGCTTGGTTGTTACATCTAGTACTCTGTTCATGTACTTTATTTCATATATGACCTCTTTCCTAACCTCGTCACTGACATAGCTTTCTTTCTATTTTCAGTACTTCCTAAATATCCAGTAGATGCAAGGGGAAATCAGCACGGCAAGGGCAGGGAACATGTTCAGTGAAACACAGCTTTCTTTAAAACAAATGCAAAGTTTGATAATTTTTTGTTTGGTTGGTTGTTTTCCAACATCCACATTAACCCTGGTAGCCCAGCAAACACATTTATATACTATTTGTACATAATATGCTGTTCTTTTCCCCTCCAAAGAATTTCAAAGCTTCCAAAATAATACTTCCTGAATCAGCAAAATTTCTTATTTGCATGCATTAAATTGGTCTCTTTCTTCTTGCTATTAGGTTTCAGTTTGACTTTGAGCCTGACCACCAAATAAAGATCACTATTAATTTCTGCTTTTTGACAAACACTGACATTATGAAGTGATTATATATTTTCCACAGCCAATCACATGTTAAATCTAGTTTCTGTTGGCTCCAACATAGGATTTAACGATGGATTCGACTTCAATGTCTATGGCAGGGTCCTCAAATAAATGAATTGTCATATTAAAAAAAAAGATGGAAACGTGCAAAGGAAGACGATATTCCACAGAATTAAAAACAAACTAACCAAGAACACCCTTGAGGTCAGGAGTCCTTAAAAAGGGCAAAAATGTAGTAAAGGAAAAATAATTACTTTTCCTTCTCCCCCACCCCAGCATATGATATACTCGCTACATCACATAGGAACAGAGCTGTAAATACGAAATAATAAAATAACAATATCCAAGTGGTTAATAAATTTCAGATACCTGGTTTCTTCCTCTGCGTTTACCATAATTCCTTCGCACAAGGGCTTTATAATTTTCATTTTTCTTGGTCAAATAATAATATAATACACAGTCGGGAACATTCTAAAGTGAAAAAGCAAAAAAAAAAAAAAATTAGGTTTTACTGCTACAAAAAAATATGTTCTTAGTATTTGATTTGTCTCAACACTTAAACTATTCAGCCCCTAGACTAAAATAAAACTCTATTAGATTTGTTTGCTCAGCAGGGAACTGAATTCACACACAAATATGACAATATAAGTATGCATAAAATTACAGTGTTAAGTGCAAGTCTCATGTATTTATAATATCCCTCAGCTACTTCAGCCTTTGTGAATTAATCTATACTAGACAATTTCCAAGTTTGAAAGCTTCTATTTATCATAATTGCTGTATGTATTCAAGATTTTGTTATAAGTCTTAACAAATCCTAATTCTCCATTACTGCTTATATCAATTCTGCAAAACCAGTTCTAAAGATTAAAATCAGTTCTCAAGTCTAGTTCAGCCAGCAGTAGGATCCCACTGACCTGAAAGGTGGTGGCAAGATTTCTTAGCACAGCGGCTCAGCAGAGCCAATTATGTCCTTATCTAAACAGTGAGATAGTTAAAGATGCTTACCTCCTTCAAAAAGACAATAAGATCAAAACTAAATGAAGTGCCATTTTCTTTTATTGTTGTCAATAGTGTCATTTCACTAACTTTTGTTAGATGTTTGCACACATTGATTGTGTTACTGATTAAGTATTATAAAATCCTGCCGAAGCAGTAACTTTTTTCAGACTTCAATTTTTTTCCAGGAAGAGAAAATGATGCTGGGATAAATGACTTACATTTGGAAAGTTAGGGATCCCACCCTAGGCTCTACTTATATTACAAAAGGTCTTACCTTTCGTTCCAGGTAGGAAGCAATTAGACCAAAGTTCTTGGGATGTTGGACAAACCTTTTATAAATCAGAAATTATTTAAGTTTAACAACATAATTCATGATCAAATAAGCAAATCAGTCTTCCAAACAATCTGTTCCATCAGCAAGCACTTGATTTGCACAACTGAAATGAGTTTTAAAAGCCCAGTTTTCAAATTGTGCAAATTTAGAGCTAAGCACTTAAAATTAGCTATTAGTTGATAAAATGAGATCATATCCCTACTCTTTTCAATTTAATCTTATCAAGGAACTAAAGTATTTTTAAGATAATTTCTTATATAAGGACTAAACACGTGTCTACCAAGCTGAAAAATAAGTGGAGTCGTCAAGCTTTGCAACTAAGAACATTATCAAATATTATTGCACAAAACCTTTTTTTTTAATTTAACGGATGTTTACTGTGGGGTTAGGTATTTAACTGTCATTTGCAATGTCATAAAAATGAAAGATAAGAAAGCCCATTACTTTTCCTTAAAAATCTCCTTCTCATGGTCAGTCCAGACATTCATGAACTGTCTGTCTTTATAAACTTTCATGGGATCCTCCATCAGACCATTCATATTAATAAACTTCACTCGTCTTTGTTCTGCATCAAACATCATGGGAGGAATGACAGAGAGCTGACGCATTTGTTTTTCATTATTCTACAGGCAAAGAATAAAAGAAAAAGTAAAGAATACAAAGGTTGCTACTAATGTTTACAGTTCTTGATTTACACAACTCTTTAAAGCTCCACCACAGTATACATTCACAGTCAGTTTGAAACTTCTTTTTGTCCGCCTCTAACTCTTTTAGAAGTTGTCACTATCTCAAAGAACATTTACACAGCCAGCTAAAGGAAAGAGAGTCACAAATGATGAAAAACTACAATGGTGCAGGGTTTTAGAAAGGAAGAGTTTTCACATGTTTGTTAGAGCTGTAAAAAACTAGGTTGTAGCAAGCCTGCAATGAACATGGACACACGAGAAAAATGTAGGACAGATGCTATTAGAAAGCATAACCCTTAAAAAAAAAGTATTTGTAAGACCTTTTTCAAGCCAAAGACTCTCCCAAACCAGCCCCAAAAGGTTTCTCTTATCAAAAAACCACAAACCCTCTGAAATTCACAGCCAGTAAAAACGATATTGAGTAATTTGCTGTGCTTCTATAGCAAAGTACAGACAAAAGCCTCACCTCCTGCTCAGAAAGTCCATCAATGATTTCAGAAATCTCATGTTCACTTCTAGCAATAGTTGCTGAAAGTCCAGCCCCTCTTTGGCCAACTCTAGAATCAGGGGAAAACAGAAGTAGTAATAACTAAGTGGAAAGCAGCTGTATTTTCAGATTTTGTACACAATGACCTTCAAAGTTCTTTAAAATACTGTTATCAGTCTCCCAAAATAGTTAGTTAGAACTGCTCTTTCTGAAGTAGCATCAGAGTACAAACATCACGTACTGCAATTCCAAACAACTGCTCGGTTTTACAGGTGAGTTTGCAAAGCTCAGCAAGAAGGGCATGTTTGAGTCAACATTAAAAAAGGGTGTTACTTCTGATTCCACTGCCAGTAGGTGTTTTAGATACATTAACAGGCTTCTGCTGAGTATGAGAAACGTGCATCAGTGGCACAGAAATCATCATCATAATTAGTACAACTGATACACTGTGAAAGACAGCTTTTTTTGGTTTATTTTTTAAAAGAAAAAAAGCACATTAAATTTGCCTTTCACCAATTCGTTCAAATTACTAATACAGCACTGAGACTCCTTATAACAAAGGAAAATTTTTAACTTTTGAATTGATGGGAAGAGCTGTAATTTGGACGAATTTTTCAGCTAGTGATCTTTACACTTAAGAACGTCATAATAATATATTACAGCATGTGGGCCAAAAAGCATTTCAGAGAGAAAAATAAACCACTGATAATTAGAGAGACAAAACATCCTCTTTTGCTCAAAGATTTTACTGAACTAATCAATTTGCACAAAAGCTAACAAAACCCCTTAGCATTTACACAGCAACAGTACTACAAGCACAGCTATAAACAAAGATGCCACTACTTTAAAGACCATAAATATTCTATAAAGAGACGGCCCCTTCCCAAGCAGTTTGCAATTACAAAGACAAAATATATTCTTAAAGTAAAAGCTTCTTAGAGATAGGAGTTCTGTTCCCATTCTAACGATTTTCTTTCTTGTCCTTTTTTCTTGATTCCACAAAGCCAGATCTTGCAGACTTCATGATAAGTTGCAAACTATCTGCTTTTCCTGTGTTTTATGAAGGGATTTAGACAGATGGTTAGAAAAGACAATGAGATGAAATCTTCATGGGGCTTGGACTCTCAAAGGTGTTTTAAAATTATTTCAAACATTAGATAAACAGATTTGAACACAACTGAATCAAACGACCTAATTCCAATTTAAAGCACTAGCTACAGTACCGTAGACAAAGTGAACTCTCAAATGAACTGCACTTCATTCCTTCTAAGAATCTTTGTACGCTTCCCACTTAACAAATGCCTGATAGATTAAAATTAAATAATAGGGATTTAATTGTCATAGTTTGGGTACTTCAAAAAGCAAAAATGTCTGCAGTAAAATTACATGGCAAGTACAACAAAAGATGACTCAAATTGTTAATTACACAAGTCAAATGATTTTTGAGTGTGTAGGCTAATGAATGTAGGGATCATGAAACAAAGGAGTAACACAGACACCAAGTGACAGAAAAATACTCAGTGTCAATTGGGGTGTAGGCCCAAAACAAACATGCTTGCGTGGAGCTGATGCTCCAGTTATCTTAAGATCAGCTCCACAAACCTCTTTGTGCATCTGAACAGCCTAACTCACACAGTCTCACCAAGCACCACAACCTACCGAGCCTTTGCCAATTAGCCTTTTTCCTGTATTTCTTTTGGAAAACATGGGTTTTGATAGCAGATCTAAAAAAGGGGATAGGAAAGGAACAATTTGGACATCACTACAGCAGCCCAAGAGGACATCAGGCTGATGAGGTTAGCATCGCTGACAAAGCTGGCAGGGAGGGACAGGAAAGGGTGAGACATAGGACGGCGGATATAAAAGAAGGACAGTCATGAAGATCCTTAGGATGTGGAGTGAAACTTGAGCTCAATGCTATGAGGCACAGTGAACAAAGGAAAGAACACTTTACTTGATACTGCATGATACACTAATATTCTTTTCTAAAGAAGACCGCAATGAACATAAAACCTAACCATTAAGCTGAACCAATTTTATTATATATAATCTTATAACTTAAATCCTAAGAGATATTTTATAGAAATATTTCAAATCTATCGTAATACCTTTGGAATCGTTCTTGCTGTTCTCTTTGCTTCCGGATTTCTGGAAATTGTTTTTCATAGTACTCTCTTGTTTTGCTCTCCTTAGCTTTCCTGCGTGGATTATTTTCTATCCTGTCAACTTTCTTCTCCCACGCCTCCATCAGCTGATCGTAACGTTGACAGATTTTCTGTTCCTGTTAAATTCCAAAAGTAAACCTTGAACTAAACACAAATACACTAAGTGATCAGTACACAAAACATGGGTGGGCTCCATACTTTTCCTGCTCTAGTGGCTTTCCATTTTGAAGATGACATATACCAAAATTTCAGCACAGAAGGTGAGGCAGCGGATATGAAAATGTAGCTTTTGAGTATTACACACTATTTCTCTGCTTTACACATCACTATGGTATTTGGTAACTGTTATTACTGTCTTCCAGAAATCTCACATCTTCTGGTACCAGGCTTTTAATTAATGGCATTGGTTTAATTTGTTCATTTTTATTTGTTTTATTTTAAAATTTTAATTAATAGAATGAGGCTGGAATAATTGCACTATGTCTTCAAGCTCAGCAATACGCAGGGAGCTGCTCCTACATAAAAAAACCTGGGACCGTAAGAAGAAAAATACTTCATTACATTTTCATGGGGGAATCTTCCAATTTGATGTATAATCTTCTGCGATTCTTAATAATAAAAATGATCTTTCAGACACCACCCAAAACAGCCTTTTGACTTTGTTTGCCACTTGCTACTACAGCATGCAAGAGAAAGCATTAAATCAATTAATACTGGTATCCAACATAGACAAATTTGACTAAAAATGCTGTCTGACTTAAAAAAAACGGAGATCTGCTTCATTTTCTTTCAGCTACTATACAAGAAAAGAAGTTCAGAGAGAGGCCAGGCATAGCAGTTAAAGATTTTCACTGAGTCTCTTCCATTTATACTCTCTTTAAGAAAAGAAAAAGAAATAAAAAGCTTTTTCCTTATTGTACTTTAGATGGTTTTCAGTCAAGTTACCAATAAACCACAGTCATAAACCTGCAGTTTATTTTCCAATAAATCAACAGAATTTTAGATTAAGATCTTATTTTTCTAATCAATGGGATTTACATGACACATTGGGAATGTGAGTCAAGGATCCAGACAGAAGACCAATCATGTGCTCTTTTTACAAAAACATGGTAATATTACCCGTTGTTTTCTTGCATGATTTCTTCTTTTAAAGAACAGTATTAGCTTCTTCCTCATCACCTGGTTTCTGGAAAACAAAATTGAGATTAAAAATAAAAGGGGGGGAACTACAAAAGAACTGTGCACTTTAAAACTACTCAACAAAGCCCATACAGATTCTAGAAGCCAGATCATTATTATGAAAAATATTTTCAGGGTAGAAAACAGAGGGAAAATTCCTGATGAAACAAACATCTAACTAGTACTGTATTTTATCAGAGAGAAGATTCTTGAACATGGCTGAAATAAGCAATTGAGACACAAAAGCTTTCAATTTCAAGCTAGGTGCTCTCTTTTGCCCCAAGAGAGATAATATGCTAAAATGAGTCAATTTGGCTTAAGATACCATGCTTTGAGGAAAAAATACCCAACTTTGTAATTCAATCCTCAAGTTAAGAGCTTTACAATGTATTACTCAAAAAAAAAAAGTATTTTGGAACTGCTATACAGCTACATTTGAAGAAGCGGAGCAAGAAGGACTTTTCTTAGAAGTTTTTAAGGGACACCCATCTGTAGGATTTTTTCTGTACTTATGAAATATTATAAAATGGTACTAAAAGTTATAGCACTTGGTAATATGCACATAACTCACTATGCACTTCTTCACATCTGAAACTGACAATTTATTTCTTCTTTTATAAAAACTGGTAGTACAGAAATTGTTTAATGAACAAGTAAATCTTACCAGAGACAGTAATGTTCTTCAACAAATTTGAACCGGGATAATCATACCCCAGCAGTAAAGTTCGTCTCAAAAACATCAGTATTTGAGTTTCAAAGTGAGACATGAAAGTAAATATTTTCTTCCCAGTTACTGTCCTAGAGAAGCCATGAAAAAATCTTCGTCTTCACAGTTACAACAGAAAGGGATTTCCTCAAAGAGGATTTGTAAGAAATATGCATTTTTATAGCAGTTACAATTCAGAGATTACTTTCACCAAAATCCAGTAGCAATATCTATTTTGAAAATAAGCTGATTTTTGTTGCAAGGGAATGATCACTATTTTGGTATTTTATAACACTGCTACAGAGTGAAATCAGTATCGGTTTGACATAGCCACATAAAAAATAAGATTTTGTTCTACGTTGTGAAGGACTTCCTGTAGAGAAATGAGTTCACCATCATCTTTGCAGAACCGAGACATTCAAAGTAATCAGACGCAACTTAATGGTCATTTGAATTTGAGTACAAATAAGCTTAATTAAACACATTTAAAAATTAATCTATTAAAATTTTATTTTGATCTATAAACAATATTTGCTTCAGTTAACTAAAAAAACCCTACCTCATACAAATTTCAGAAACAAGGTTTATATTAAAAAACCAAACAAATAGTTTTCCTCAAAATCTGCATTTCTTCCAGTTTACTTCAAATCACTGCATTTGGTTTGCCCTAAATAACAAGTATGTGTGGCATGCAAAAACTCTTCTCACACTCCATGATAGAAAATGAATACACGGTTAACTCAATAAATAAAAAGATAATAACAAAAAAAAAAAATCAGGACTCCTCCTACCATTTATTGTCAGTGATAACTTTTGAAACACTTCTTTGAACAGTACATTCAGGAAAAGTTGACTAGTTTGACTATATCAAGGTCAAATCTGGTATTTTAGGCTTTGAAAAATACAAGCATTATCAACTTTAAAAATAAGTTTTATGATTTATTTTTAAGTTATGATGCAAAGTTACTGCTTCCCTTTGCCAAAAAGAAATCAGAAAAGTACATAGACTGGAAACTTTTAAATATGGTTAAAGAACACACATCCTATTTGGAAATCACTGCAATCCAAAATTTGAGTGAAAGTTTGAGTCGGGGCTCCTTAAATGGCACAATGACAAGATATTCAAGCACTTACGTTTTGATGTTTTCATGGTAGACCTTTGTGTCTGACGGTTGGTTGTAAAGTGGCTACAGTTTTGGATTAGAAAGGCACACTTAGTACTTTTCAACGCATGTGACTCTAAAAGCGCACGCAACATATTTAACAATATTTTAATATTCTGCCAACGTTGCACTCAATTTGAGATGCAGCGATCAGAAAGGACTAGAAGATATTCAATACAAAGCACAGATTTCGTCACTTAAAATTAGATCATTACAACAACTTATGTATATAACAGTATTTCAATTTTTTCATATTTCAACCTGTTCTCTCAAATAGATTCAAATCTATTTTTAAAAATTACACTTCTATGGCCAATCAGTTCATTCAAGTCCCAATTCACCAGTGTATTTAAACACACACTTCTTCTGTCTGTAAACAGAGAACTACATCTGTTTACCACAACAGAATTAGACATGAAAGCGACACTGGCAACACAGAAAACAGAACAACAAAAAAAAGCCAAAATAAAATCACAACTTACCAGTTCAACTTTTGGACCAAGACCTTCAAAAATCTTGTGAGCTTCTTCTGCTTTTTTCTGCAAATAAGATTTTTTTTGTATAATCTAAATAAATCATCTGATGGTAGTGTCAGAAGTGTATCTCAACTCTTTCACTTATGCTAGCTGTTTAACCCCTGCCTGACCATACTATATCCTTCTTAACCTACTTCAGCAACGTTGCCTCAGCAAATCAAGAAATGCGTCCTTGAATTGTGCAGTTACTACTTTGATCTCCATGTTTGGAAGCTGACAGAGTGTAAAAGGAGAAACTGACCTCTGCAGTTCAAAAAGAACATGCATTTAATAAACAAAACAAAAAATAATTATTAAGAGGAAGAAAGGTGTCCAGTAAAATGAAGTATAGATAGCTTTGAAAAATAGAATTAAGAGACTAAAATTCTCCAAATGCAAAGTCTGGGAGTGTGAATCAACGTGTACATACACACACCCCGAAGCATGTCAAAGGAGGCAGCGCTGGGTGAGACAGCTGGCTTTCACAAATTCATTTCAAGCCTGTATGATATTCCAAAGCCCTTTGTCAGCAGACAAGGCTATCTGAAATGACCCAACATACTCGTTCAAATTTGCTTCTTTCCCCCTAATAGCTGTATGTGCTAGCCCTAAAATATCTGCAAAGGAAAATACAGGAGAAACTAATCCATAAAGCAGTTATTATTAGAAAGTGTTCTGCTAAGTTCTAACCTCTTCCCATGTAATTTCAATCTTAAGAAATTCTTTGGAACTCACAGCTGTACAAAAGAACTATGTATCATGGAAATATTATAATATTACCCTGGTAGAATGTTTTTTCTGGTCTCAAACTGTTTAAAATTGAACTCTAGCCCTATTACTTTAACCAAATTTTAGCCAGCAGTAGTTGAATATTAAAAGTAATTATCCTGAACTGCATGGTTTGAAAATGAAAGCCACTAAGGGGACTGTCCTTGTGTACAAAGGCAGAAGAAAAGGTACCAAACAAGTGCTACGTACACGAATGGCTTTATACATGTTTAATAATCCTTTAAATCAGACAGTGAGTGTTGACACGTGCTATTTGTATTATGCCCCATCAATACTGCTGTTCTACAGCACATGTAATTCCTGATACGACAACTCACACCAGGTGCTAAATGGATTCACAAATGCATCAAGCTTTGCAATTCCCCTTGTACATAGAATACTATATGAATGGCTACGCAGGCAGAAGCAGCACTGACATATGTTACTCCATCTCAGGCAACATAAAAATGGGTTTCCTCATTTACTGGCACATACACAACATGGGGAATGCAATGGCAAGTTCAAAATTCTGTTGTAAAACCCACCTGTAACCAGATTAGCAGAGAAAGAGTCGCACAGCAGCCTACTAAAATGTCTTCAAATTCACATAGTTTTGCCTACTACCCAACATGCAACTCAGCTTGAGGAAGACTAGCAAGATGATTGTGTGATTTCAACAATTTTTAATTACAGTATAGCGTGAAAGAGATTCCAAACAGTAAAACTGGTTCGTAACCAGAAATAAACGTATCGCTGTACATTGGTTACATCAGTTTTTATAACATAATAATTGCCCTAACGTCCTGTATTAAGTAAATATAGAAAATTTCACAGACAGCTAGAGGAAGGGGAGAACAGGCTGCATGGACACTTGGGATACAGTTCTACTGTATAAAATCTAGTATTGTGCTGCAGTTTTTTACCATCTCAAATTTTCAAAAATAGTCTATTGTAATAGAAGTTAGCTGTTCCTCTGAACTACAAAACAAAACTGGGAAATTAAACAAACATATACCACTTTCACAAAAGTTGATAATACTTTCAAAACTCCCTAATCTCAAACTACCAGGGAAAAAAAAGGCAGGAAGCACTTTTTGCTACTGTTGGCAATATTACTGAGCTCCTGTACTTTTCTCATCCCTTATGCAACACAAGCTCACAATTCACCTATATACTACTTCTTTATATCTCTTCATCTATCCAAATCTTAAGTGCCACAAGTCAGAGTTTAAAAAGAAGGCACGGAATTTTACAACGTTTGCAGTTTTTCCCCTTCAGCTGATTTAAATGTTGGGTCATCAGCCAAGTTTGTCAGTATTTATGTGAGGAAAAGAGAATTCAAGATAAATTTCTAAGCATTTTTTTATATCTATCTATCTACACACATACCAACATCTATATTTTTGTGTGTGTTTATATATATCTATCCATCTCAACACAAAAGTCTAAAGATGAGATCCATAGATGTATTTCCCTAGACTGCTTAGAAGATAGAAGGAGGACCCTGTGATAAAGAATAAAAATGTCACGCAAGTGTCTTTCATTTAAAGTAGTAAATGAATATTAAAAGAGAGGTGGGCAAATCAGTAAAATAGAAGCAGCAAAAATTGCCCCACAGAAGTGAATGAAGACATAATGCATTCTAGCACATCGGGTCAGATTCACAGCTACACTCAGCCAACTGAAAAGCACGCTTACCCGATTTTCATCGTAAATAATTTGGACAATACTGCGGTGCTTCTGTTCCACTGGAGGAGGGGAGACGGGCCTCTCTGGCTCTGGAGGCTTAGCAGCTTCTTCTTCAAGTTGTTGCTAAGAGACAAAAGAAAGAAAATCAGCCATCCGCACCACGTTACCCTTGCCAGTAATTAGTCACCAGAGATAAAACATGCATCTGATCAACAGTTAGCGCTGCCTGTTCTTTCTCTTTTTAACTGACAAGGAATGAATGAAATAGTTTTAATGCCAACAGGGACAATAACAAGACTATTTTTTGTACTATTGGTAAATCAAATTAACTGTTTACAAGACTCACCGGCATTGAATTAGACTTGTTTCAGCTCGACCTTTAAAGTCACTGTCACTTAGTAATTTATCACTATTTAACTTGAAACAAAAATATTAACTTTGGAGAACAGTTACACCAAACCTGCCTTCTCACAGAGGAAGTAACCCACAGAGCTGCCTTTCTACATTGTAGATACCATTTTGTTGTTTAAAAAGCTATAAAGGTCCTTCTTACATTCCACAGAGAACATCATTCTAAACGTACTTCAAAGCAGAAATAAACCACTCCACATGCACTGAAGTTCCAAGATTGTTACAATACCAAACAAGCAAGAAACCCTGTAATATTTTCCTAGCTCCTACAATGATGTGATCTACTTTCATATCAAATAAATCTAGTTCAGTGACATCTTCATTTTTCAATTGTAAATATCCTTCATCCATGTCTGCCACAAACATACAACAACACTTCTAACACTAGTGATCAGTCCTGTCTTACAGTATTGGCTAAAATGTACTATATTTCTGCATAAGAATTCAAAATCTAAAGTTTTCGCAGAATGCTGGAATAAACAGGCTCAATTATTGCAGGCAACATCAACTTTGTAACTTTTTAAAGTCAAATCATAGTACAAACATGCACAAATGAACCTTCATAGATGATATGCACAGTACTTGCTGATTTTGCGGAAAAGCGAACAAACAAAAAGATAAGCATCATTAACCCACAGCCAGGTACTCAGTGACATCCTTTTGTGGTTTTTCTGCTGAAGGTCACTTTACAGGTCATTAAAATTCAGACGTAATTAAATGCTTGCAGACCACAAAAACATACAATCCTGAGAGCTGCCTGTTTGTTATCCTGGACCTACAAGTTAACAAATTCTATCGTATAATTCTAATTTCCTACAGACTTCCCACTAAAAAAAAAAAGTAAAGCTGGCACTATTTCTATCTGGATGTTTGAAAGTCATAAAAGGAAAAGGAGACAAGAACTTTGTTTTTCCAAGCGAATAACAGATGCCTAGATTGAAGCGTGGGTTTAGTTGGCCACAACAACTACTGGGAAAGCAACAGCTACTGCCAGCAAACATTTCCTTTGCTTCCAATGGCTGAAGTGCAGTCCTCTGATGCAAAGCATAGCCAGAACCATACTGAAACCAGTGACATTTCCTCCTTTATTTCTCTGTTCTCTCTGTTTACTCGCACCCCTCCTACTACACCTTCCTTCAAGGCTGGCCTTAGCTTCAGATGTTAGGATCTCTTGCCCGTGTGAAAGCAGACAATCCCGGGATTTTTGTACAAGCTCTGGTTTTGAAGACGCATGCAAGGAATTCTTCCCTTGCACAGACTGCAAAAGAAGAAAGATGATAGCCTCCTCCCACCCAGCAGTCATCTTTAAAGCTGAAATTACAGTCACAGTGCCCTTGTTTCACTAGTCATCTAAAACAAGTTTAAAATACAAAGTCATCTACTATTGGTGTTCTTAGGTGGCCTCCTCCTATTTTCAAAAACGTTTAATGATGTCTAATCTATCTCAACATTCTAGCAAAATCGTATACATGACCTTCCCTTTTTAACTTGTTCGTTTGGTTCATGTAACCAAAAAATTCACCACCACCAAATGATGTTTTCCCACATCTTTTTCACCGGCAGATAACAGTAGTGTCTGCTACGCTTACTTGCTTTTTCTTCAGTTTAAGGATTTGCTGTTCAACTTTTGCAATTTCACGATCCACACGGTCCATGCTCTGTATCAATTCTTCCTTTGACAGCTTTGAAGGTGAAGCATTTTGGTCCTCCCCACAAGGCTGACCAGAAACTGGAGAAGATGGTCCCTCATGCTTTCCTCCAAAAGTTGGGTCCTTTCATGAGGACAGGAGACAGGGAGATTGAGAGTCAAACGGATAACATACAAATGAACGTTCAGTAACCAAACTAGCATGCATGAATTGAAAAGAATTTCCAGTTATCTATACCTCTGTTGAGGAGCTACCTTAGTTTGATGTTTCAGTTTATTAATGCTCTAAATATTTTAGAATTAACTGACAGCGCATTTACAATACTGTAATTTCAAAGTCAACCTTTAAATTAACAGCACATATCAATATTTACCTCGAAATAAAAATAAGATCAAAACACCTCCCTTTAAAAAAAATATAACTTCATAAATCTAAACTGTATCTTTTATTTTTAATGGAAGAGTTACTCAAGAATCAATCCTTAATACTCTGCACATATATTGATGAGGATATTCTTGAAGATAACCACGACCAGCCTGGTACAGTACATCTAGAGTTAGCTGTGGCTATAAATGTTAAGTTCTCTTGAACTTGACACGACTTAAGAGAATGATGACTTAAGAGAAGACAGATTACTATTCATTTGACTTTGATTTTTTTTGTCTTTTTTTTTTTTCTCTGTTTCCAAACAACATAGTTCAACCTGCTTTATATGTTCTACCATCAGCACTGTTGTATCTGTCTTTGTTTATTTACTCAGATCATCATGCTCCATGACTACCTGGCTGGCAAATGCTAGCTCAGTTACACGTCCCTCATTCGAGCCAACCTGACTGAAAGACGATGGGTCCGAATTCCACTTCTCCTCAAGATAATTCTAGGCTGTATTTCTAAATTGAGACAGTAGATTTCTATACGTAGCACCTCAATAAAAATTCAGTTACATGCAAGCATGTTAACACTGCACGCCCTAGCTTGAGTCCTCCAGCCCCCTTTGATTTTGTCTTTGCTATACAACCCAGCAAGTTACTAAGAAATCTCACGCTGTCATAATTTTAATTGACTTCACAGTTTATTGACGTGATAAAAGGAATGGCAGAGAGAAGGCAAGACAAGTAATCAACTGCTAAAAAATCTGGTGCCTATTAGCTTCTGAATCCATATGGTGAAACTTCTCTTTAAATTACTTGAGCTTAGAAACTTGAGTGCTCACCTTCAGAAGTCACACCCACTGTGCACCACCTTTGTGGTGTGCGAGCCTGTGTGCTTGTGTGCATGAGAGAAGATATTAAATATTCATTTAAGAGACATTTGTCTGCTCTATACAAATTGCTCTAATCAACATTCAGCATCTACAACAGAAAATATCCACACCAAACTAGACTGCCCTAGATTTACTCAAAATGAGACAGTGACAAGTATAATTAGTGTTATGTAAATGAGTAGATTCATTTCAAATGCTTAAAAAGGAGAGGGGGTGGAGGGGAGTACTTTGACCATTCAGTACAAATATTCATTACAGAAAAAAAAAAATGGACTTGCATGCATTTGCCAGCAGCTTTCAACTGAAAAGCAGAAATATTTAATGTACTGTACTATAATATTTTGCAACTGAGATTCAAATGACTTAGGAGAGCAGTGACAACTCAGAACTCCAGGCTCTTTAGTGTGTTTGAGGCAGACTTATCTTCTTGTTCTTTTTTATAAAAGAGTAACACTGACTGATGACCACTGTTTGTGATAACACACAGGAAGTTGTACCTTCAGCATCATAACAGAAAATGGCTTTACCTTCTTAATATCTGCAGATCTCAACCCTTCCTGCAGAGGATGTACTAAAGGCAAGACAGTAGCTGCACTGACACGCTGAAAATGGGAATCAGAGACTTGTTCAAGACGTGGTCGCTTAGATTCCAGTGAATCATGATCTGTCTGAGATGGACCTGGATGAAATTGCTGTTCATATCCAGTTCTCCTTTCCTGAGGCCTAATATACAGAAGAGATAAATGATTAAAATATGTATTTTCCATATAAGAAAAATTGTTGGTGTTTCTTAACCCTTCTCAAACATACAAGAGATGCAATTTAGTGAAGCTCCTTATAAACGTTAATGCAGACAAATGTTTTTAATTATGATCTTCAAAACTACAACAGTTAAAATCCATTGAAAAAGAGAAAGTTAACTTGAATCTAAGAAGACACTGTTTAAATGCATGCCTATCATTACAAACTCTTAAAGAAACTTACCACTGCTACAATGATATTGTTCAAATCAAAGTTCTGATTCAAATTATAAACAAAAAAAAAAATCCATGAAATAAATACAGTACTATATTGCACTGAATACAGATGGCCACAAGAGCTCCATTATTTCACTTTTGCAGTCAAATAATTTTTAAATATACACAGAATGCTTGAAATGAGCCATGAGCCTGTCTGGAACTTGAGCTCTACTAAAATGCTACTATATGACAGAAACAGTCATTGATTCAATCCATGAGTCATGTAAAAACTCCTCCTTCTCAGAAAAAAATGCCAAAGAACAGTACCACTAGCTTCTTTACAGTGCAATGCACAGGATGTCCACAAAAGAACCTCATATGCTTCAACATCTTCCTATGAAGTGCCACTGAAGAGATGACAGTAGTTTCCTGTATTTTGTCAGAACTACTGAATAAGCTTTTCCAAATTTACAATGTGTGTGTGGGGATTTACTTCTGCTATAAACTGAAGTTTTGTGAACTTTAAAAGCTACTGTGATTCTCAGCACTAGAAGAGAGCCTTACTGACATTTTAGAGACACAAGATGAGGGCAATATACAAGCCCCAGATTTCACTGTATCAAGTGATTTCTGGGAATACTCTAATGAGATTTTAAGCTAGACCAGTACTTACATAACATTAATCACTGGTATTTGTTCAGAACCAGATACCTCAGTTATAGCCAAAATAAACCGCTAGCAGTAATCCAGCATATAAAGTCACTGCTAGCAGATATACTTACTAAGAGTCCAAGGAAAAAAGAAAAAAAAAAAAGGTTGTTACAAGCAATAACACTTGGTTACGACTGTACATCAGCATACTAATACGCTAAAGAATTGAGGTGCATAAATCATATAGTAACATCTCTGAGCAGAAGCATGTTCTTGCTAATTTACAATTCAGTTATTCTGATCTGTAGTGGGTTTTTAATTTCTAAATTTGGTTTTCAAAGCATATCCAATATTCTTCAGAAATATAGTCAAATGAATGCTTAATACGGTCTGAAAACCTTCTTGAATCTGTCAACCTTACAGTAATATTAATGTACATTTGAACATTCATCAATATCCACCGTCAAGTCATCTACTGTACTGAGAAGTAAGATATTACCAATCTGAAACCAAATTACAACATATGATTCACTGTAGTTCTGCACTATACTTGTCCTCAGTTGACCTACTGGACCCAGATCAGTTGCATCTGCTTACAGAGACAGGGATGGTATAAGAGATTGACAAAAAGTGTATTTAGAACAAATGATACGAAGCTGTCAAACATCTTGCCAAAAGTAGCACACACTCTGATTCAGTCCTCTGGGCCTCGTCCATTTGGTGCCACAATTCAGTGTTTTACAATTCTTACAACTCAAATACCCCGTTAGTTCTGTTGTTTCTTACTCGCCCAGCCACACAGATACCATCTGTTGAATAAGCAAGCCTAAGCTAGGCAAGATGAAGGGGAATAGTCACACTGTAACAACCCTTGCACTTTTTGCTTCTACTCAGCAAGATTAAATTATCCAAAGGTACAAACTTTACACACTTTTAACCTAAACAGCACTAAAAAGTTTGCCACATGCACTGGATTCTCAGCAGCTTACTGACAGCCTTGTTAGGAGAGGTGTGGGAAAAGCGAAGCAGACTGTCACTTCCTCTCTGAAACAAATACATTAGTTAAGCCAAAAGGACGGAGGAATTACACAACAGCTACAACACTCAAATGCAGGAGACTGGACACAACAATGGAGCACTGATTAATAAACTCAAACACTTAGGCAAAAACAGTGAAACTCTTTTAAAAAACTTTCTATTCAGAAGTCACAACTGCCTCTACAGGAAGCACAGGCTCACAGAAGATTCCTGTTGGCATACTTCAAACCCAGCACCCTCACCTGTCGGAGCCCGGGTGAAACTCAGAAAGCAGGGACGGCCGGCGCCGAAGTTGCTGCTGCTGTTGCTGCTGCTGCTGCAGGAGTTGGGTTGCCTGACTGACTTCCAGGTGAGACGAACGGTAATCGGGAACTGCAAATTCCTAAATGAAACACACTTCTGGTGTTAAAAAGAACAAAGGTGCAGAAGACAGATCATTTCCAAAGTTCTTAAATACAGACCAAGATCACCAAAGCCTTATTCCAGCTCAAAAAGTAAAGTTTGCAAATGGCTGCTCTGAGTTTTAAATGCACTTTAAAGAGACTAAACCTTATGTTACGAATTCCACCTAGCTTATTAACATCTAACAAAACACAAACGAGGCAGCAGCAGCAGAACATCCTTTAAAAAAAAATCCTTTAAAATCAATTTTGCACATGTAACTACAAAGCAGTAAACTGAGAATATATTTCAGCAATCCCGAGGTAATTCCTTCTGTTAGCACTTCAAGACATTTTTATACCAGACACTATTAATTAGGACTAAGAGTCAGACAAGATGGATTTTCTGACTTATATAATTTATAATCAAAGAGAGGTACAAGACAATTTATTTGTAGATATGTGTCTTCAACCACTTGCTTTTAAAAATTACAAGCAGCTGGCAGCAACTGAAGAGAAGCTCTACAAAACACGCAAAGGTCACTACCCGTAAGATTTAGTTTTTACTAATTATCTAAAAATAAATACGGAGCAAGCCAAAAAGCTCCAATTCTTGAATTTCCTTTTGCAAACATGTAAGTAGAACAAAACATCTAAAGTATCTGTAGCAGGGGGAGAATTTCATTAAAATAAGGGAAACTTGAGCTTTTTTTTAAAGCAAACAGCTCGTCCTCCACAGCCTACCATGCCATACAGAGCACAGGATGGCAGAATAAATGCTCAGCAGAACAACCAAGTAGGAGATTCTTAAAAATCCATTACCCCAATTCCACCTATAAGAACACAGCTAGCTGGAGGCACTGGTACAGCTGCTTCAGAAAAAAATTCAGAGCGTAATCCAAGTTTTTACATTTTCGTTTCATATTCCCTACCTTGCACACAGATTTTTGTCAAGAACTACATTTAGCTTATAAATAATCCAGCCCAATACTCCTTACGTAGAAGAAGGAAAGATGATTATGAGTTCACTTCTTACGCTTCTGGGCCTAATAGGAGATTAATTCCTCATAAAAATTTAGTACCCACAAATACCCCAAAAGCCCAGTGTCTCAAAAGATCTGTTACACCCAGAACACTGCATTCATATTAAATGTATACTAACTGTAGACAGGTTATTTTCATATTCTTGGAAAATTACTGCTATCGATGCATACAGACTTTGATACAGTTGGCCAAATTTAGTAATATGACTAAACATCAATAAATTAAAGCAAAACTACAACAAAAGTTTATGAACACAATCAAACAATCAAAAACCAATTATAAACCCAGGAAGTTTATGTTAATTCCCCATAATAAAGATACAGAATTATAAAACTCTATCAAAAAAACAAGTAAAAAGCAGATACATATACAATTTCGAAGAAGCAAACTGCAGTGCTTTCAGAAAAAAAAAAAAAAAAAGAAAGGAGGGGAAAACAAATCAAAACAAACCACCCCACAACTATTTCCCTAAGCAACACTGGCAGCAACTGTCCTTGGCAGGCAAAACACTGCCTTTGCCACCTTGACCATTTCTTTGCATTTGATTTTTCAACATTAAAAAAGTAGAAGAAGTAAGAAACAAAAACCAGCGAGGAGACAAGATTGTCAATGTACAGTCTCTAAGACAGGTCCATTTCTAAAGGAGCGTTTTGCCAGTTTGAGCAGATTTACAAATGTTAAATAATAGGAAATATTGACAAGCTGACAAACTGTAGGGTTTTATTTAGGATACCTTCACAGTTTTATAGAGCATTTTTTAATACTAGTCCATGCAAAAAGAAAGAAGGGGTAAAAAAACCAAAACAACAACAAAGCAAAACCAAACCCACAACCAAAAACCAACAGCAACTTAAAAAAGCTAAAATTGCAGTCAATGGTACTCCGGGATTTTAATAATTCCAGCTACAGCATTGCAGGAAGTCACAATTCAACAGGCAATTATATCCTTTCAAGGGAATTCTTCAGAAGGAACCAAGGAGCAGCTCATGGCTGCAGATTGTACTTCGCAGAAGTTACATCACAGTCAGACGCTCAAAGACACAATATACTTGAATAAGCAGATCCATCAGCCTTAGGGCAAGAGCCAAACTCCAGAGGCACAAAACATTGTTACACAGCTTTCCCCAGTCAGTTTTAATTACACATACTGGTCTGCAGCTACACCGTTTTGAAACGTGAACGACTTATGTTACATTGGTGTAAAAAAATATAAATCAACCCCATTTGGCACAGCAAACACTCAAATTAAACTCTTGCTAAACTTTTAACCCTCGGGTCTCCTTACCTGTTGGTGCCGGGTGCTGGGGAAGGTGTACTGGACAGAATGAGTAGGATAACGACTCTGTTCTGTGCTGAATGCTCCTTGGTTAGGAGGGTAGCCTGAACTTGACATTATCAGAGAAGAAGTCTTCACAAAGCTGTGAGATCAAGACCAACAAGCAATCATGTTTCTAGGAAACCGCCTAAAGGAAAAAAGATCACTGATAAGCACTGAAGTACCAGATGTACTCACAATACATTACAGCCATAGTCACCTAAGCAAAACAACCATTACCAGTAAAAGCTTTTTCCTCATGTATTTATTTAATAGGTTACTCTAGTCTGAAACATGTTAACAGGTCTTAAATGGGCTCAAAATGAGACATGTCAGCATTGTCTACACAAAGATTTGAGGATGATAGTGTCGGAATACATCATTTTACCAGTTACCAGTTGAATTAGGAGGACTTTAACAGAAAAGTAGGTCACCTTAAATAGATGTTAAAGAGGTTATAACAGTCTATAGATAGACTCTTTATTTACTGTAAATTTCTTTAGCACAATGTGAAGTTCACTTTCGTTTCTTCTACAAAGTTTTTGGATTCTATGAACTGTTTCTTACTTTCAGATTCAGGTAGTTTCAGGGTTGCTTTACTCAATGCCACCTACAGTTCATTAAAGCAGTGTATTCGTTGGGCCCTAAAATACTATTACAAACTCACAGCAGCTTTACAGTAGTAGTTGGTTAAAAAAGGCAGACACAAAGAAAAAACCTCACTCTTTCAATTGACAGCATAGTTTGTCTCACATGAGATGCCTGAAACTGAAGACACTACGAAGCCTCAAACCAACCCTGCTTAGCTGACATTGAATGACTATGTTGCCTCTATTGTATTCTGCAGCTACAAATCAACAGTGAACACTGAAATGCATACTAATCTGGGGAAGATTATAAATATTGAAAAATTCCAGACAAGTTCACTAACGAAGCCTGAGCATCTATGAAGTTGCATGTAGTTTCAGCAGCTGAAGATCAGAAGACCTTGATTAAACACTGCACCCACCACTGCTTTGAACAGGTAACTTACGGCTCTATCAAAACAGCAGCACATAAGTATGTTTTTAAACACAAGTTATTTCTCTCTGATAGCTCAAAAGATGTCATCCTTCGAGCCTACGTATTAAATACAGACCTGTAGCGAATTCTCAGCCTCTGGTCCAGAGACTGCAAGACATATCGGACCTTCAAATAAAGTAACTGTTGATCCCTGCCTAGATGGTTTCATTTCAAAGTGCATTATCTGCAGCCTTTCACAAACATCACACGTAAAAAGTTGCACTTCTGAACCGCGTTTTCCATTAACAGTCAATAGACAAAATCAGCTCAGGAAAGGATCAGACACGGCAAGCTACACAAACAGATCTTAAAGTTTATCTGACATATTTTGTCATTCCTGTTCTGTTTGGAGTTGTTTCCCCCACCTCTCCATCAAACAAAGCAAGCATTACATGTTGGACTAGCAGAATAATGAGACAAATTTAGATTTATCTCTTAAATCTGATTTTCAGGTATGAAAAATTAAAGAAAAACCTACAGTTTCTCTTTCAAAGCAATACTAGAGACCACTAGTTGCGTGATTTACAGTGCTTATATATCTATTACAGTATCTATAATTCATATCCAAGTGACAAGTTCTAACATAGAACTCTTCACCACTAACATTTATTATACTTCACCATTCATACTGCATCCAGTAGAGTACATCTTTACCAACTATGTGATGGTCTAACCGGTCTGAGTCATACACGCTCCATTAAATGAAGAAAGTGCCAGAAAGCAAGCAGCTTTAGCTAATATACGTTGTACTACTCAGCTGCATGCTATAGTACCCGAATACTCAAATGTATTCCTAAATCCAAGCTACAGCAAAAAAAACTTTGATTTTTCTCCCTCAACTTCTATGCATGTGCGTGTAAAACCATGGCCTACAGCTAACTGCGAGCTCAGCCAAACGTTTACTAATTCACTACTCCCATCGCAGGCTAGTGAACGCTTAGGAAGAAACGAACAACAGGCTGCATGGTATAACGATGGTCAAAACACTCAAGGTTACAAAAGCACAAACCTTAGTTTGATGAATTGCTGATGCCCTATCTCGTGCCACCTCACCAACTTCACAGGCAGCCTTCATAAATATGTGGAAAATGACTAACTGGATTTTTTATATATATGTACGTCTGTTATGTCATAAAAACTTCAGTGAGGAATAAGGCCAGTAACAAATCAAAGCTCCTTTAGCCCCACGTGCTATGACTGACAATGGCCAGCAGCCGGCATTTAGGGAGCGCAAACCAGTACTTTCCCATAAACCCCCCAGCCTTCTAGTAGCTCCCCGAGACAGTTTGCAGCCCAGAGATTCCTCCAGTCAGTCTTTCTGTTTAAGATTTCTTAATGGCTTGCTTTTCCATTGGTTTGTCCAGCTGTTTTCTGAACTAGTGTAAACTCTCAGCATTCACCACTGCTTGCTGCAAGAACTCCTACAGTTTAGTGGCACCTCCCATGAGAAACCACCAGCTTTTTTTCCCTCTGGACCCACTCACTACCTTCCTTTGATATCTCTAGTTTACGCAGTGGAACAGTCCAAACATCATCTTCATTCTCTTTCTTTCCTTGTTGCACACATGACTCTGTAGACTTCCATCATATCCCTTCAGCCATATCTTTTCTGTGCTGAAGAATCCTAGTCTACTTGGCTGCTCCTTGTCAACCACTTCCTAACCTCTAGTCCTGTGATACCCATTCTGAGGCATAGGGAGCCAGAAACGTACACCAGATTATTCTGGGAAATTATCAATAGATACTCATCCTGTTCTTACTCTCTTTCTTGACATGCTGATCACAGTCAGATAGATCTGAAGAATCTAAGGATGCAGAGGGGATCAGGAGAGCAATCACTTGAAAAATCACACACAAATGTAGGCCAACTACTGCATGATTCAAGGTCCTTTCTAGTTTCTCTCTGTCAAGTTACATCTTCTCCTTATTTTCTCAATATTCAGTCAAACCCACAAGCTGATCATTAACCCAGGTGCTGAAAGTTCACTCGACACTCACTTTGTGTGATGCTATAAAGGCTATTTCTCCATTCACAAGAACTTTAGTGTATAGATTGTTAGGTTTGTGTTAGGACTGTTAGTCTTGAAATCTTCACTGACAAAGGAAACTGTCACAATCAACAGCAATGAGAGGTCCTGACCATCTCTCCAGATTCTTTGCTGGACGTGGAAAGATGAGGGGGAGAGGAGGGGCATGGTGCACAAGCATGAACATCCTTCATCCATCCAACAATGTTAACTCAACCCCCTATTTCATAACTTACAAGTTTTACATAATACATATGAAAACATTCAGTCTAACAATCTTCCTACCGAGAACTGCAAGTGTGATCATGTTCACAGCATCATAATAAAAATTAAGGAAAAAAAAGTGAAACAAAGAAACGCTGCCAACAGGGGAAGGCAATAAAAACAGCGTTGGAGGTTATAATCACGGTCAATAAGAGAGGTGGGAAACGGAGAGAGGAAAAAAAGAAAAAACGAAGTTATCGATGGTGGGGGTGCATTCTTTCCCCCAAGGGAACTGACACAACAGCAGGAACAGATAAGGGCAGGAACAGTAGAGGAAAATACATGTTTACATATTGACAATTACAAGGTGGAGAGGGAACTAAAGGATGAGAATTCTGCACAGAATTCCGTTTCTTTCAAAACAAAATCAACACTGTAGTACAACTACATGTAAAATGACACTTAAGTACAATATTCCCTCCCTCCAAGCCTCCTTTCCTCGTTACAGACATTTATACGTGCCTGCATGCTCTCCTGATCTGGCCCCTCTACATGCCCTGCAGACCCCATCTTACCTCCCAGTCTCCAATAGTAGAGCTTGTTTACACCCTCTGCCATACTGGGGGAGGAAGGAAGTTTTTGCCAATATTTGCCTATAGAATTACCACCAATATTCTGCTCATCTCTCCCTGTCTTACTACATTAATTCTCCAGTTGTGGATGTAAGTACTTGACTTCAACTCTTATTTCTCTGCAGATAATCTTATGACCTTTCATCTAAAAGCATCTGCCCCTCTCTTCAGCATCTGCTCCCATGTATTCAGAAGACACAGATTAGTCTTCACAAATCTATTTCTTGGCCAGTGAGGGCAATGCCAGCCTCCTGCTGTACCCTTTACAAGTTCCATACGTTCAGATTATGATTAAATAGAGCAGTCTTTTTGCATAAAATTGTAAACGTGTGTGTAGACTGTCAACAACCTTATCCGGGCTTTCCTCACTGCTATATCCTTCCATTAGTCATGACAAACATCGTCTTGCGCTACTCAAATCCCATCAGAATCCTCCTTTAAAGCTCCTTGCTATTAACTCTCTCTGCCTCTCCAATCTTTCCACTAGTTCCCTGTTCTCTGCCAGAATAGGGGCTGCTCATCTTCATTTTCAGCACCCTTGACAAATTACAAGAAATCGGCTTCCAACTCTGCACAGTCAATGACAGCAAGATTCTATTTTTCAGACAAGTATTTTCATACCTTTTCATGTTATTCTACAAATTTCAGAGGTTTCTCATATAAACATTTACAAGAGCTGTTATAGACTTTGGAATTCTGCCTTAAATGTCTCACAAAGATAAAGTTGGGTCATGAACACTTTCATACAGCTGCCAACCAGGCTGGCAAATTGTCTGTCTCGCTGAGTACTGACAATTAGAATGGGCAGACAGGAACATTTCTTGTTTTGTACTTCAGAACCCAGTCCATTCTTCTATAGCGTCCCACTTCACTGACATTCCCAGACTCTGTGGTAAAACACATAAGGGATGAGGAAATCCAGCAGTGTCAAATGGATAATATTTAAAAATGATAAATTACAGGAGAAGTAGGAGCAAAGACTCAGAAAAGAAACTGTTAAGCTTGCAGACACCTGGCTGAGACAAAGCAGTAACAAGTAAGAGTTTCAGGAACTGTGAAGAGATACTCAGGTACTGCATTAATTTGAGCTCCTCGGCAAAGGAAATTATTTAACAATGTTTATTTCTAAAGGTATGATGACATTTTTCTCTTTGGCTGGCTCAAACTACTGAACAGATCCGATTCAGACTTCCCCTTACAAGCTACTGTTCGCATGCACATTT